TTCAAACCCGCTACCAAATTCAAAATCCGCTATTAAATGCTACTATTTCATTAAATTAGTAGCACCCATCCCCTGAGATTAATTTAATAGGGGTGACTAAAAAGGAAAAATACAATTTTATCCTTAAAATTATATTTTATTATTGTAAACAAAGTGGTTTTATGGACAATTCAAATGTAATAACTGATTTTAACAAATTTAATAGAAATTTTAATCTAAGAAACCGTACATGCTACTAAATAAATAATTAATTAGTCAGTAGGAAGTTAATCCAATCTCATGTAATCCAATCTAATCAAATATAGGTAACCGAACGAGCCCTTATTCATATACGGTATCAGAGCACTAGGTTTTTAACCTAGCCGCCCTTTTTCCATGGCGGTGACCACCAAACCAATTTCCTCCCTCCCCCGGTGGTGGTACTCTAATATCTTTCTTTTTCTATCTTTTCCATGAACACCACCAAAATTTCCTCACCACCGGGAATATCTTTCTTTTTCTATCTTTTCCATGAATACCACCCAATTTCCTCCCTCCCCCGGTGTGGTGGTAACTTATATTTTTTTTTCCGACTTCTTCTTCTTCTTAGTCCGTTAATCTCGTTTCTCTCCCTTTAATCTCTATCCTTCTTTTAATTATCCCCCCCCCTCTCATATCTTCTCTCTCTCTTGATTCATACACACACACAAAAAAAAAAAAAAAAAAAAAAACAATTTATTTTCTCTCCATGTTATTTTAAGTAAATAATTTTTAGTATACTGTCACAGAGAATTTCTCTAGGGCTGTGTTTCGCAGTTTTTTGTCCAATCTTCACGTATGGAGTTTATTCATTTCATCTGCGGGAGCGCAAGTGATTGTCTAGTCTTCACGTTCGTCACGTTTCGACTGCGGGGGCGTGTTAGAGTATATTATATTATTTGATATTATAGAATTCTTGTAATATTAGAATTCTAGTATGATTGAATTACCTAGATTAGTTATGATTTAGTTACATAGTTAAACTCTATTACCTTGCAATATTTCTCTATATATATTCCTTGTAAATCAACCCATAACATAATGGGGGGTTTCTATTACGTATTATTTATCCCCTTCTCCAATTATATTCTTCATATAGCTTATTTTTATTTCCCCGATTATTTTCTTCTTTCTATCAATTTGGCAGATATTTTCACCGATGATTTCTCTAATGCTCTATTTCGTGGGTTCTTGTCCAGTCTTCACATTTGGTGTTTATTCTTTCCGACTGCAAGAGTGTGATAGCAAGTGATTATCGAGTCTTCACATTCATCACGTTTCGACTGCGGGGGCGTGTTGGAGTATATTATATTATTTGATATTATAGAACTCTTGTAATATTAGGATTCTAGTATGATTTAATTACCTAGATCAGTTATGATTTAGTTATCTAGTTAAACTCTATTACCTTTTAACATTTCTCTATATATAATCAATGCTAATGAACCCATAAGAAATGAGAGTTTCTATTACGTCTTAAGTCTCTTTTTCTCCAATTCTATTCTTCCTATAAAAATTATGTTTTGTAATTTACCCTTTAAGTGTTATTAAGGATGATAATCAAAATAAAATGTAAGATACCATTGTTTTGTTCCAACAATTTCTAAATTTAATTTGGAACAAACTACTTCACTCCCCCAAATTCTCTTTCTTTTTTTTTTCAAGTTTTTTCGAGAATTTGCTTGAAGGAATCAGAATCAGATTGTTAACTTCAAAAAAAAAATTTAAAAGCAAGAAATAAATAATAAAAAGTAAAAAATAGTTTTGATCCAAAACAAATTTTCACCCATAGTTTTGGCATATGTATTACAAAACTAATAAATATAAAAATATTTTTGCAGAAAATAAACATATACAATAGGACTAATTAAAATACCATAAGCACTAATTCCCTCAAGTAAGAACAATTTTGAGGGAAAAAAAATTAATTAATGCTTCGTTAGAATTAATGACCTTCTTAAAACATATATAAATTCGGCCAAACACTATCCACTCTAATATTTCCTAGCTAAAATACAGCATTTAAGTACTAATATCAATGAGTATTAAAGATTCCTATAGCACTACCAATTATCCTTACTAGGATTCAATGTTGCTTAAATCTCCATCAAGAGTTTTTACAAATAAATCTTGCATTTAAAACAGTTATTAATGATATAGATTATTAAAAAGAAATGGAAAATAGATGAAAAGTGGAAGATGTAAACATTGCAAAAGCTAAAGTGATATAAAATTTCTTTTTCTTTATGTTTAAAAAATATGAGATTAAACTTGTGAGAGCATAAAACATCCGCTATCAAATTAAACCCTGGAAAAAATTAAACAACAAAATGTAACATAAGGTGAAACAATAGAGTAATATGTATATGATATACCTAATTGGGCCGACCCAATGGGCCCCAATTCATTTAACAATTAGGTCCAATACACGAAAGTATTCGGGCCCATTACACGAAAGCCCAAGCACCTTCAAAATCAACGACATATAAATAGAAGTTTTATTCATTTGTAAAGGTACGTTCTCATTATTGACAATTCACCTCAAGTTTTATTCTCTCTACTCTCTCTACGATCCATACATCTGACTTGAGCGTCGGAGGGGTTTCCGCCGGATCAACCCCCGGCTTAGTTCACGTGTACTTGTTTTGTAGGGACCTCAGGAACATCGAGTTGACTAGCTACTGATCAGCTTTGCTCTCCCAGCTCGTTTTCTATACTATCCTAGGTGAGCTATATTTTAGCTTCATCATTTTGGCGCCGTCTGTGGGAACGATGCAAACCAGATCACGTAGCCAACAAGATCCTCCTGAGGCATCAGCTCGGAGAGAAAACGACACAGCTAATAACCTCCCCGCCCGTGGAGGATCTGGCATCCCACCCCCTCCACGCGCCGCGGAGCAACTTCCTCCATGTGCCACGGAGCCAGCTCTTCCACGTACTGCAGATCCACCTCGCGAGGTTCAGGTGATCCCCCCTCGGGACCCACCACTCGCCGATCCACCACTCCCTGCTCCTCGAACGGTTCAGATAACCGAGGATGCACTCCAACGTATGATAGCGGAAGCTTCTACTCGCGCCGCCACGGAGGCCGTAACTCAATATATCGCCACGATGGGAGCAAACGCTCCCAATGCGATACCAGCACAAGCTCCACCTATAGTACCACCAGTGGCCCCACCGCCGATCCAGAATCAAATAAGCGTCTCTTCCTCTACGTCGGACCCACGGTCCCGAGTGCAGCTATCTACTAATCACAGAGGAGCACAGCCTAGACAACAACGTCGGCGCTCACCCCTACGGGGGAATGCATCGCCACCAAGAATCCCTCTCTTTAATGAGGGAGAAGGCGAGGTAAACAGCCGAGTGTCTCGCCAAAACCTTTTCTCCCAACCAAATAATCAAATGGGTGAGAGGATGCCTCTCCCAGCAAGACGCAGTCCCTTCACCATAGAGATCCTCAACGAGGTATTACCTCAAGGAGTAAAGATCTCGGGGTTACCTCAATTCGAAGGGACCACCGACCCACAGGAACATATTGAGAAATTCAGTGCCATGGCGGATTTATACGGCCCGACGGATGCGGCGATGTGCAAGATGTTCCGCACCACTCTCTCCAAGAGGGCAATGAATTGGTTCAACTCCCTACCCATAGGGTCCATTGACACCTTCGCTCGGTTGTCGACCCGATTCACCAACCAATTCGCCATCAACAAACAATACGCCAAGACCCCAGCTCATCTTTTCTCTGTAGTGCAGAGAGATAACGAAACACTCCGCAACTACATCAAACGTTTCGTAGAAGCCGTCCATGAAGTCCCCAGTGTAGGGCAAGACATGCTCTCAGGGATTATGCAACAGAACTTGAAACCGGGTAGATTCAAGGAATCTATTGCCGGAAGACCACCAGGCAACCTAGAGGAGTTGTTAAACCGAGCCGAAAAGTACGTCAGGATAGAGGAAGCTTCCACCCACGCTCCCCCTAAAAGGAAAAGGGAAGATGACCGTCAGGACAATAGGAGGCGTGATGACCGACGTCCACCACTTCCACCTCCAAGCCAACCCTCCTCTTCCTACAATAGGTTCACTCCGTTAAACGCTCGCCTCACTGAAATCCTTCACGTGATAGAACAGAGAGGTTTAGCGGAGCCTCCACGTCCTATGCAGCCGAATGCAAAGCGAGAAAAGTCGGATCGCTATTGTCGATTCCATAAAGACAAAGGGCATACTACGGAGGAATGTGCACAACTTAAAATGGCGATTGAGAGGCTGATCAAACAAGGCCATTTAGGCGAATACGTCGATAAGCCGCGAAATAAACGCCGTGATGATCCTCCACGCCGAGATAGCAATCGAGATCAACAACAAAGACGAGAAGATGGGGGTCACCGACGTGACCTAGATAACAATGATAACCAGCCTACCCGGGGAATCATCTCATTCATCTCCGGAGGACCAGCGGGAGGCGATTCACAGAATGCAAGACGCACACTCGCTCGATCAGCGCGCATGAATCAAGAACGCGCTTCTCCATCCGAACGCATATATCAAATACGAAGACCTGATCACAGCATAGTCTTCAACTCCTCCGACCTCGAAGGTCCAGATGAAGACCATGTCGATGCATTGGTAGTAACAACAACGGTGGCCAACTTCTTGGTCAAGAAGATATTAGTGGACGGTGGAAGTTCGGCTGACATCATGTACCTCCACGCTTTTAAGCAGCTGGGTATAGATAATGCCCGATTTAGTCCCGTCTCCACACCCCTGAAAGGATCACAGGAGAAGGCATCTTATCCATGGGAGAAGTGGAGCTGCCTGTCTCTTTAGGGGAAGACCCCTGTCGAATCACGAAACTAATCAAGTTCCTCGTCGTCGACAGGCCATCACCCTACAACATCATTCTGGGGAGGCCAGCCATCCACACATTCAAGTCAGTACCTTCCTCCTACCATCAGAAGTGGAAGTTCCCTACTCCCTATGGAATGGGAGAAGTGCTTGGAGATAGACGTCTCGCTCGAGAATGCTATGCAAGGGCCCTACGAGAACCCTCAAAGAAGCCTAAACCGCCCGGAAAGGGAGACGATACCCAAAAATCCGACAAACGGAAGTGGGTCAATGCAATCATTGAGGACAATAAAGAAATCCTCATCAGTGTACCAGATGATAGCATCAAGCTAGCGGCTGTCGAAGAGCTTAAGTTCATAGAGCTCACACCTGGAGATGATTCCAAACTCCTGCGCATCGGATCTGATTTAGATCCTGAGACGGAGCAGCAGCTAATCAACTTCCTGCGACACAATGGAGATGTGTTCGCATGGAAAGCCCAAGATTTGTCGGGCATTCCCCCTCAGGTAGCCCTACATCGGCTTAACGTCGACAAGAGGATGAAGCCAGTCAAACAGAGGAAACGAACGTTTGGACCCGAACGCAACAAGCATATCAAGGCAGAAGTGGCTAAACTTCTAGAGGCGGGTCATATACGACCAGTTCAGTATCCTGAATGGTTATCGAACGTAGTGCTCGTTCCCAAACCCGGAGGAAAATGGAGATTATGCGTAGACTTCACTGACCTCAACAAAGCCTAACCTAAGGATCCATTTCCTCTACCCAGAATCGATCAGCTCATCGATTCGACCTCGGGGTGCGAACTCCTCAGCTTCCTCGATGCATACCAAGGATATAACCAGATCTTACTGGCTCCAGAAGATCAAGAGAGGGCTAGTTTCATCACTGACCAAGGCATCTACTGCTATCAAGTCATGCCCTTCGGGTTAAAAAACGCAAGAGCCACCTACCAGCGTCTAGTGAACAAAATGTTCGCAGATCAGATCAGTAAAAATATGGAGGTGTATATCGACGACATGCTCGTCAAAAGTGTCAAGGTCTCGGACCACCTAACTGATCTGGATCAGTGTTTCGCCACCCTGCGAAAATATAAGATGAAGCTCAACCCCCTCAAATGTTCATTCGGAGTTAGGGGAGGCAAATTTTTGGGTTATATGATTTCGCAGCGAGGAATCGAAGCTAATCCCGCTAAAATCGAAGCAATCACCTCCATGGCTCCGCCAACATCGATCAAGAAAGTTCAACAACTCAACGGCTGTTTGGCATCCCTGAATAGATTCATTTCAAGATCAGCGGACAAAGCTCTCCCATTTTTCAAGATTTTAAGGGGAGGAAAAAAGTTCGAGTGGGATGAGGCATGTCAAAAAGCCTTCACTGAGCTAAAGTCATACCTCGCTTCACCACCCTTGCTCACAAAACCTCAGCCGGGAGACACACTCATGCTGTACTTAGCTACCTCGGCTGATGCCATCAGCGCCGTCCTCATCCGAGATGGAGGAAAAGGTCACCAACCCATATACTACATAAGTCGCGCTCTTCAAGGAGCCGAGCAACGCTATACCAATATGGAGAAGCTCGCTCTCGCCCTCATCAACGCTGCCCGAAAGCTTCGACCTTACTTCCAGTCACATCAAGTAGTGGTTCTCACCAATTATCCACTGAAGCAAATACTAAGGAGTCCCGAAACGTCCGGACGATTAGCAAAATGGGCTATAGAGCTAAGTGAATACGGAGTAGAATTCAAACCCCGCCCAGCTATCAAAGCGCAAATACTGGCTGACTTTCTAGTCGAAATGACCACAGTAGAAGAAAGCACCTCTCTACCTACTTGGTCCGTCAGCGTCGATGGATCTTCTACTACAACAGGAGGTGGAGCGGGCATCGTACTAACAAACCCCGACGGAGACGAATTCGAGTATGCTCAACGCTTCGAATTCACAGCCTCGAACAACGTCGCTGAGTACGAAGCACTGATAGCAGGAATCCGCCTCGCCCTGGCAGCCGGAGCGCGCAAGCTCCTAATCCAAAGCGATTCTCAGCTCGTCGTCAACCAAGTACTTGGAGCTTACGAGGCTAAAGAAGACACCATGGCCAAATACTTAGCTCTCGCGCACACTCTCTTATCTAAATTCGAGAGCTACGAGATAAGACAAGTACCTCGCTCCAATAATATCCATGCTGACAAATTAGCTAGGCTTGGAAGCTCCATGGCTAGCATCGGAAGTCGGAAGGTGACGCTCCTCACCTCACCTCAGCCAGAGATAACTTCACCCACAGAAGTACAGTACACCGAGGAGGATGAACCATGCTGGTTCACTCCAATCCTGAAGTATCTCAAGAAGGGAGAACTTCCAGCGGAATCCACCGAAGCACGAAAGTTAAAAACAAGAGCCGCTCGCTTCGTCATAGTGGGAGAAGAATTATACAAGCGAGGGTTCTCATTTCCTTACCTCAAGTGCCTCGACCCAACCACAGCGGATTACGTACTTAGAGAAGTACACAAAGGCATCTGCGGAAATCACTTAAGCGGGAGAACTTTAGCTCTCAAACTACTGAGGCAAGGCTACTATTGGCCAACGATGCATGAAGACGCGAAGAAGTTAGTCCGGAAGTGTAGGCCCTGCCAAGAGCATGCAAATATCACTCACCTACCAGCGGCATTAATGCAACCAATTGACAACCCCATCCCTTTCGCCCAATGGGGGATGGACTTAGTTGGACCATTTCCACCCGCCACAGGAGGACGTAAGTACCTCATTGTAGCAGTGGACTACTTCACCAAATGGGTGGAGGCGGAACCCTTAGCACGTATCCGAGAAGAAGAAGTCATCCAATTCCTATGGAAGAACATCGTCTGTCGCTTTGGAATCCCACGTTCCATTATCTCAGATAATGGAACCCAATTTTGCGGTGACAAAGTGAAGAATTGGTGCCTCGGCTTAGACATCAAAAAATTCTTCACATCCGTAGCAAATCCACAGGCTAATGGCCAGACGGAGGTCACGAATCGCACCATACTCCAACACCTTAAGACAAGACTTGGAAGTGCCAAAGGGAAGTGGGTGGACGAATTGCCTAACGCACTTTGGGCTTATCGCACAACCCCACGAGCAGCAACCGGAGAGTCGCCCTTCAATCTAGCTTTCGGAACAGAGGCTATCGCCCCTGTCGAAATAGGAGAACCATCTTGGCGAATCACTAACTATGACCCAACAGCTAATGAAGAGGCTATGCGGGGAAGCCTAGACCTCGTAGATGAGTTACGTGAGATCGCATACATCCGACAACAGATGTATAAATCACGCATGGCCAAGGCATATAACTCAAAAGTCCGCCCTCGCTCCTTTCAAGTCGGAGATTTAGTCCTCCGAAAAGCTGAAGCCTCTCACCCCATCGGTAAGCTCGACCCAAAGTGGGAAGGACCGTATAAAATCACAAAGGTGGTCAACACGGGAGCATATCGCCTCGAGAACATTGATGGACGCCCTATACCCAGAACATGGAATATAGGGAACCTCAAGCGGTTCTACGCTTAAGGTATACATCTACCTTACTTCAGATCAGTTAAGATCACCATCCATACCCTTTCCATATGAAAGTTACTTACAAATTGTTGCATCTGCAGGCTCCACGACCTTCCACGTAACTCGTCTTGTAAGCTGTTCCTAGATGGTTAGAAATTTTTCTACTACATGACCAGGTGCGTTAACATCCACCTAAACTGGGGGGCTAGTAAATTTATTTTCACCAGCAATTCCTCATCACATCCCACCATCTTATTACAGATTGAGATCCATTATGAGAGGATGCATATTACTCTAGCAACGGCCCAAAGAGCGAGAACACTCCATACCACATCGCCAAAGGTAACTATACTTCCACTCGCATTCAACACACGGATGATCTTATTTAATCCTACTAACGTGAAAAAATAATTCCACCAGCAGGCATGATCGCATAGTAACTCGCAGCAACTCACGACTTGATTTCATATCTCGAAGTGCAAGAAAGAAAAAAAAAAAAAACATCCCCAGAGCATGGTACGTAGATCGGCAATGCACATCCCCTCAGCTTAAATTACTAAGTCTTCAATACAAATGCTTAGACAAAACTCTTTTTTCTCAATTATATTTGACAGGCGTAGAAACGCCAAAGGAATTCATTTTACCATCAGCACAGCAAAACGAACGAGTACAAGCAAGACGTGGAAGAAGAAGAACAAGTGTAGTACAATCACTTAGAACAATTTTTATCAAGTCAAATTTTTTTTTTCTCTCTCGCTCCACCAGTAGTTATTTACCTTTGCCTCACGTAGGCCCATCGCATTAGTCATTTCCTTACATTCGCCTCACATAGGCATGTAATAATTCTCCTTTGCTATCGTTGAATAAAGAATACTTTTAGCTTTACTATCTACGCCTTTACGTCTATACAAATTACCTCTTACCATGAGTTCAAGTCAATATCACACTACAAACACTTAGACAGATTTAGATAATCCGTATAGCCTGGCCAGCTGGATTAGCTAAGTCCTTTTATTTGTTTCACGACGTGTTAATTTTAAAACGTGGCCACGGACAAATATATTTAAGACCCAAGCGGTCCGAACAAAGGGCACGACCCTTAACAAAAACCTTGGGAGACTGATCCCCTCCTCAAGTACATCGCGTACAATGCTAAGTGTAAATACATATAAGCAGCGCATTAACTCTTGACAATGTCAAAACAAATAATTCAAGATACCAAATTTCAAATGTCGAACAAGGAAAAAATTCAAACGAAATAGTAGAGGACATACCCATCTACATTAGCGAGAAAAATAAAATAAGACTCCAAACACAAAAAAAAAAATATAAATATATAAGTTTAACTATCCTAGCAAATAAATCTAAACTCCCCTACTGCGGGCGGAAGACGTCCCCACAGTGGGATCATCAGCAACCATATCAGCCACAAGCTCTGTGCCTGTCCCATCAACATCTACCTCATCATCCTCTCCATCCGAGATACCAGCCTCCATCCCTCGAATCACCTTCTCACTGATACCACCCGCATCGCGAAGATATTTGCGACAAGCACGCACTAATGGCTTATAGACCACAGCCAACGCATGCTCCTCAATCATAGCAGCACACTCATCACTACCTCGGAAACTAAGCTTGGTTTCCTCCACGATGGACTCCTTATAAGCCGCACCACCTGATGTCGTGAGGAACCTCTTCCCCGTCGCCTTCTCAACTTCGTATTTCTCCTTGAGCTGGTCGTAGCATTCGTTCAACTTGTGAACATCATCCTTATACGCCTTCGCATCACCTCGGATAACCTCGAGCTCCTCTGTCTTCTGCGCAAGCTCCTCTGTCTTCCGAGCAAGCTCTTCCGAGCGTTGAGCAAGATCGGACCGCGCTACTTCCAACTGGCTTAGAAGATCATCCTCACGCGCGTGAATTCGAGCCCGCTCCTCTTCCTTCATAGCTTCCACGTTCCTACCGTGCTCCATGAGATATCTCCAAGTCGCCACCAACTACATAAAAAAAAAAAAAAAAAAAAAAAAAAAAAAACCAAATAATAATAAATAACAATATTTTTCGCAAATCAAGAAGGAATAAAACATAACAAATTGTCTTAAGTAGACAAGTACTCACCCGACATATGTCCCCGCCAGCTAACTCTAGCATGTGAGAAGGACCCTTACCAAACATCCGTGCACGGTCATACTCTCGAACAAATCCTTCGGTACTCAACATCGGCAAATCATAGTCCGATACATCCCAGTACAATTCCTTACCATCGCGGTTCACGCCATAAGTAAACAGTTGTTTCCCTCCTCCACCATGGAAAAGAATAAGTTTTCCTCTGGTTCTACCCGGGGGACGCTTAGGGACAGCCACATACTCGGTATCCCCCCCTCTTTTCCTTGCCACAATCCTTCTTCGGTGG